AAGATTATTATTCTTGTTTGTATTGAGATAACTCAAAAATTAATGGACTGACTTCAAAAACAATAACCCTTACACATATGTATAAAATTGCTCTGTGTTAAAGATACAAAACTACAAGCTAACAACATAAAATCAAGTTTTGCAACTTTGTTTAAATTTTCATTTGATAATAAGGACCTACATTATCATATGACTAATTGAATTTTATCTTTCGCAATTGAAAGTTTTATGTAATGTAAATAATAAAATAAAATTTTTATAATGCTAATGATATAGTTATTAAAAATACAGGCTGATCCTAACCTTTTTCATTAGCTTGCTCCACATCTCCATTAGATTGATCTTTGGGTTTTGATTCTATACATTCACCTTCCTCAGCCTCAAAGTCCAACTGTTCTTCACCATCCTCAGTGTTACTTGTTTTTTCTTGTGGAACCTACAAAGACATATTTAAAGTAAAATTCTACTCTCTTCTATCAAAATACTTGAAAATAAAAAGATGCTAAAACATTCTTACTTTGTCCAATTTAGTTATATCAGTCTTCCCATCATCCGACTTTGGTGAGGATTGTGAACTTGTTCCTATTTTGCCATTAGTATTTACATCCAGTTTTCTATCAGGTGAAGAAGGTGATGATTTTGACTACAATATAAAACCAGTGTTTACTAAACGAGGTTAAAAATTCCTACAGACTAACAAACTTATCTGACTCATTAGTGTCAATGTAAAAAAATTAACAAGATCCATATCACCCTAGCTGTCTTTTCAGATTATTATTTATTTAATTCCCTAAGAATATTAATCAGAATAGAAGGGACTCTCTCATTGAACCAGATATCTTTGTTGGTGTAATGGCCAAATACAACAGTTTCTTACAAGATAAAGGACATGCTTAAACAAAAATAAGAATTTATATGCGACAAATAGTCATTAAATGCAAGATTATTATTATAGATTTAAATATACCTTTATTTCTTTATCTGCATCATCCGGTCCAACAGAATCCAAATCTGACACATCTGATAGATCCTCATGACTAATGTTATTATCTTTTCCATCATTTCTTTCACTTGCCACAGATTTACTGCGTGGATTTTGATCCTCTTGATCTGATTCCATTTCTCCTGCAATGCAATTGTTTTTCACTTTGTTGCTTGTATAATATGGTCATGTTTAGATTCACACAATAACAAGGAACTTCACTTTTTTTCTACTTTTTAACTTTACAAAGATAAAACTTATAAAAAAGTCATGATATCAATGTTAGTCATTTAAATGATTACTATGCAAAACAATAACAAACCTTCAGAGATTTCTTCAGTTGCTGGATCTTTAACATTAGTTCTCTTGTTATATGAGGAACTTCTACTGGACTGGCTAGATTCTGATCTACTCCGACGGCGTGGCATTGTAACCATTTTTTGTTCTGCTTTTGTATGTCTTCTCCATTTTTCTTTAGGACTCCAATCAGATTTTTTCATTGATGGTGATCTAACAGGAGATGATTGAGGAGAGTTTCGGTCTGGTGAAGGAGTTGAAGTGGGAGAACGTCTTTTTGGGCTCTTTCTTGGTGATGGAGAATCAGGAGTGACAGGCCTTGATCTTGATCCATGTGAGCCAGGGGCTGACCTTGCAGAGCTACTTGGAGATCTTGGTGTCTTTGGACCTTCACCACCAGATTGTGGAGCTGAAGAATACTGTTCCGGTTGCTCTGGTGAACCAATATTAGATCCTATATCACTAGGAGACTTAGGAGCATCAGGTGATTTAGGACCTTGTGGGGATGCAGGCATTGAATTCTCAGGAGAATTAATATCTGAGTGTGCCCCACTCAAGTTATCTGGGGAACTCGGTCGTTTATTAAAGTATGGTGACCTTTGGTATGACTGACTTTCATGTGAAGGAGATCTTGGCCCATTGGGCCTTCGTGAACCAGAGAATTGTGATGGAGATTTAGGATGTTTCTTTGAAACATCACTTCTATCTGATGAAGAACTCCTACGACTTCTGGAACTGGAACTGCTACTGCTTGAAGAAGAGTGTGCATCTCCAGTAGCATCATGTGAATCTTCAGAGTCCATTCCTGAGAATAAATGTAAATAAATTATTAAGTTTATTTGTACATGTACATAATACATATACAAATCCACCGAACCCAGTAAAGCAATCCTTACTCAAAATTAGTAGTCAACCTGCCACAAATGTTCACACAGTACCAAACAATTTAACAAATGTGTTATAATAATGCAACAATTACACCTTACATCAAGAGAAAAATCTTAAAACCTTTTAGATTTATTTAATCCTTACATATGTAAATAAAAGCTTTGTATACTTACTTATTAGAAAATCATAATTAATGAAATTAATTAAAACAATAAAAAGTATAGGAATCGCAAAGGATACAATATTAGAAAAAATCAATACAAAGGTATTCTACGCCATAAAGTGTGGCATTTAAGTTTTTCGTCTTGTCATGAAAAATTTATGAACTCAATTTGGACTTTCATTTTTGTAAAACAGTACATAGGTTTATACTTTGAATCGATGTCACTTGTTTAGTAAGAAGTACAACGTTCTGATGTATATTGAAGACACATCCAGCCTTACCTTGAAGATGACGCCTCGACGCCAGAATCGGTGGCACTTTAAAACACTTTTCATTTCGTAAAGACTTATAACTTTGTAATCACAACACAAACGAAACTTGGGTCTGTCACATATACTTGTGAACTTTAACTTTCTAATAACGATAAACTGACGAAAACTTATTAAAATCAACACTACTTCAACATGGCTGTGATATAGGAGGAAATATATATGAACATAATAAATAATCACTTTTCTTAACTTCAGTAGGGTTACCTTACGCCCTTACCTTATCTTAGGTGGATAAGACGATAAAATTCTTGATGCAATTATTAATATATAATTAAAAATTCTCCAGTTTGCGCCGCATCAAGCCTTTTTCATCGCAGCAGTTTTTGACAAAGAATACGAAACTTGTTTGAGTTTATAAGTTTATGGTAAATGTAGATAAAGTAAAAACTGATCAAAGACTAAATGGACACACGATTACATTTATGATAAAAAAAAAACCGCATTACTATTATATTGTACTGTTCTTTTGTGAAAATACCGTAAACATTAATTTAAGTTACATTTGAAGTCTATGTTAATTTAGTTAAATGTTTAATCAGAGTTTTTTTAGAAAGCATAAAATGCTGCCAATGTAAAAAAGTTAAAATAATAATGGCAATGATGAAAAAAAATAAAGATTACGGCGCGAAAATTTAATTAACGCTATTTTGATAACATTTCCTTACATCCCATTATTTTATAAACAAAATGATAGATCAAGCGCTCGATGACCATGTTTCCGAAAACGAAGACGAAGAAAATTTATTTCAAGATGTAGATATATTACAAAAACACGGGATTAATGTGGCTGATATAAAAAAATTAAAAAGTGCGGGAATTTGTACCATCAAAGGCATTCAAATGACAACAAAAAAGAAATTATGCAATATTAAAGGGTTTTCTGATACTAAAGTAGAAAAAATAAAGGAAGCATGTCAAAAAGTTGTCGCACTTGGCTTTATGACGGCTTTGGAAGTTAGTGATCGTCGAAAACAAGTATTTAAAATTAGCACAGGGAGTATTGATTTGGAGTAAGTTTCTTATAAGTTTATTGCGTTTTCATAGTTTATAAAGTAGAATATCTAATGATGAAAGATAAATTTAAAGAACCACAGTTAAAGTGAAAATGGATGCCTTGAAGTTGTATAAGATCCCGAAAAACATAAGTTAACCTTGAATTATTAAAAAATGATTTCAGTAAGTTACTGGCTGGCGGCATAGAGTCGATGGCTATAACGGAAGTTTTTGGCGAATTTCGTACTGGTAAAACTCAACTTTCGCACACTCTATGTGTTACTTCACAAATACCAAATTCATCGGGCTATCATGGAGGAAAGGTCATGTTTCTCGATACAGAACACACTTTGTATCCTTTTCTATTTTACAAATTCCTTATTTTCCTTGTTTTTCATGTCTGTGACGCTTTTCATGGTATGTCTCCAAAAGAAATATTAAGTAATCGTTAAAAAAACTCGTTGAACAAGACAAATCTAAGTTCAACTTTATAAAAAAATGTTAATTTGTATGTTTTTAGAAACTAGTTATTCACCGTGTGACGTCACATCGGAGTAGTTTTGTTGGTTCCTTTTCTAAAATTAAATTCAAAACACGTTAGGCTTTTGTTATAAGCAAGGCTTTTGATGAAGCGTTGAAAAATATGATGTTTGAACACAGAAACCTCAAGAATAATGAGGTCAATGCTGTTACAAATATGTAATTAGTTTCATTGTTAACAAAAACTTCAATGTCGTAATTTGTTTTTATTTTAAAACACTGGTTATGTGTAAATCTGTACAGTGTCGATATCTGGATTCCATTAAAAAGTATAACTATTAGATTAACACCATTACATTACCCTAAATCTGAGTAAACTTAGTAAATTTTCCTAGAAGTGTTACAGTCGTCCCGACAGATTGCGACCCATCGCCGACAGGTTTAACTTAGATCAAAACGCAGTCTTAGACAACGTGCTCTATGCTAGAGCATATACATCTGAACATCAGGTAATAAACGAGAACTATCAGTATATTAGATAAAAAAAACCGCACTATTTTCATGCAATAGTGTATTTTTATATTGCGTGAAAGGTGACATGATCAAAAAGGGAGTGATGACTGAGCTGACGTATGATAGAGTTATTTGGAGGACAAAAACCTGTTGTGCCGACCCTACGGGAGTAGGATAAGAATGATGATGATGATGATGATGATGAGCGTATTTTTATAGGAAATAATTGCCTGGCTGACGGTATAGAAATGTAAAAATGTTTAAATCTATTCTAACCTAGTCTAATGACAAGAAGATTTCAGGTCACACTTTCAGTTTTTTTAAATCGAAGTGTCGTAACCGTAGACTTAGGTTGATTTTTTATTATTACTACTAGCTTTCGCCTGCGACTCCGTCCACCAAACATCCATCCATCTAAACTTTCGCATTTATAATATTAGTAGTTATTAATAGTTTTATAAATTCGAAACGGTGTAGGCAGAATTATTAGACTACGTAGCGGCGAAGTTCTATGAAGAGGCGGGTGTGTTCAAGCTGCTAATCATCGACTCGATAATGGCGTTGTTCAGGGTGGACTTCTCTGGCCGTGGGGAGCTCGCCGACAGACAACAGAAACTGGCCCAAGTCCTCTCGAGACTGCAAAAGGTATTCAAACTGTTATTTGCTTGAAACCAAAGTGTCCGATACGTATTCGTTACAAAAGGTAAAAGAGTGTTGTCGTATTGATAGTGTTTTTCATTACTTTTTAACAACGATAAAAGTATTGCACGTACAATGAACTATAGTTGCAGATAAAAACAGCCAGAATTAAATGTAGGTACCTACTTATTTATTTCCAACCTACTTAGTTATTTACAATTTCTATAATAAAACTCTACTGTAATAATTTCTAAAGTTTTATCCTTTGAGTGACGGAATATCTAACTATGTTGATTATTTAGTTATATCTATTTTTATAAAAACAAGTGAAACGTTATATTTGATGTTTAGTTGGAAGATCAGAAGGTGAATAGATAAAATACATCCGGGAGTATCGTAGTGATGCGAGTGCCGGCTGTCGGCTGTCGGCTGTCCGCTGTCGTTTCCCATTTAGGGCACGGATGGATAAGATAAATTAATCATTGCAACATTTTATATAGTAGGCAAGTGAACAAATTAGGTGCTCTATGTTTTTTTATTCTGATAGTTATTACATAATTCGGCTATTCGTATATAAACAATCAATCAGGTACAGATACAGGATGACATTAGTTGAGCTCTGTAGTTAACGTACTGCGTCTACATGTTTAGTAAAATTAGCATTGTTGAACTGATGCCTCTTGAAAGAAATGGACATGGAAATTCTTTAAAAACCAGTTTTTAGCATTACCTTATCGCTCTGAATTTAAATCGATGTTTTGTTCAGTTTAATTTAATCATTCTGATACAATAATGTATTAGCAAATTTTACCCATTACTCTAAGGGAACTCCCGAATATCTGCAATATTGATTTAGTGATAAAAGTGCAGTTTAAATAATTGAAAAACCATGTTACTTTAATTAAAATGTATTTTCGTAAAGTAAAGACGTCTTTTGAAGATTCGGTGAAAACTTGCGCATTGAAATTGAATTTACGTGTTATTTTTAATGGAAAATTTCCTTTTTAGTCAATATTTTAATAAAAAGATAACATTCAACAATTAACATTAAAAGGAGCAGCTTGCACGCTTTTTTCATTTTTCCATACTTGTATATAAAGTTTGTTTACAGATATCAGAAGAATACAATGTAGCAGTTTTCATAACGAATCAAATGACTGCCGACCCCGGTGCGACCATGTCGTTCCAAGCGGATCCAAAGAAGCCCATTGGGGGTAACATTTTAGCGCATGCGTCCACTACAAGAATTTCCCTGAGAAAAGGCAGGGGTGAGAACAGGATAGCTAAAATCTACGATTCTCCCGACCTACCTGAAAGCGAGGCAACTTTTGCTATTACCAACGGAGGTGTTTCTGACGCCAAAGATTAGATGTAATAAGTACTAAATAGTTACATTTTAATTTAATAAAATATTTTGAAAATTACATAGCGTGTTTTCTCTCTGAATTGTCAACATTTTTACAGCTTTGATTTATTATGACTTATAAAAAAGCTAAACAGTTAATTGCAGAGAACTATGCTATTTTATTTGCTGATTTATTAATGCTAGACTGTCATAATTGAACAGATGATTTCTAAGTAAATGAATATAGTTACATAATAAAAAAACGAGCGACCCCTTAATTGATGATTTCAATAGATCAGATGATATTGTCAACCTCCGCGTGTGTAAGAGATGACCTGTGAAATGTGAATAAAATCAAAGTCCAAACATTTACAAAACCGTGTCGTAGTCATAAATCGTAGTGGCGTGACTCGATTGAGCAGCCAATTAAGTTAGTGTCCTCGATTAGATAATATTGTGCATGCTTTATACATTCATACACTAGTTGCAATACAACGACAAGCACGCAATTTTACAAAGACCATATTAAGCTATTCTGTATTAATTGTCGACAGATTAGGTTTTTTTTCTTTTAATGCAGTGTTATCAAACACTAAATGTCATAGCCGTTGGCTAAGAAAATTCGCATAAAAGTATTTTGTCGGCCTTTTAAGTGGTGCTAGATTAGATTAGATTATGTGAATCATTATCTTGATATTAAATGGGGAGGTGTGTCATGTATTATAAATTATTTTTCCAATTCCTTAACATATAAAATACATAATGAAAAATTCGAATGGTGTACATATTGAAGCAACCGATGAATGAAATGAGTCACTTCCATTGGTATTTAAAATTCAAAATACTCTCATCGTTCATCATTCCTCCGTCCGTCTGTCATTCAGTCAGTCATTTAAAATTGTCAAGAGTAGATGTGTCGCTATTTAATGAAAACGTAATCGTTTTAATTTATTACTATTATTATTATATGAACCAGTTTTACACATACCTTTAGAAAAAATATTCATCACTTTGTATTAAATCAATTAAAAAGAAATGAGTGATAACAAAAATGACAAAAAGGAAATACGCGTATGGTGTGATGGGTGGTGAGTAAATTAAATTTATTTATAATTTAGTATTGGACAAATTTTGCACCGTAGCTATTTGTAATTTTGTTAATATTTTTCTTCTAGAATGTTTTCCGTCCCGCGATTTTTACGTTTAATGCATTGCTAACATACTAATTAGAAAATCTTAAAAAACCGGCGTGTCATTGTGGCAGTGAAAAACTACTATAATATTGATCTAAGCGAGTTATTATTATAACCTATAGCTATATTAAAATATTAACTTTAATTTACGGTATATTTCAGTTATGATATGGTCCATTTTGGCCATGCAAATTCTCTCAGACAAGCTAAAGCATTAGGCGATGTACTGATCGTGGGTGTACACACCGACGAAGAAATTTCAAAACATAAGGGCCCTCCAGTGTTTACTCAAGAAGAGCGTTACAAAATGGTCCGTGCTATAAAATGGGTTGATCAGGTTGTAGAAGGAGCACCCTATGTTACAACCTTGGAAACCTTAGATAAATATCAATGTGACTTTTGTGTGCATGGAGGTATGCTATTATTATTCACTTGTTAGCTTATATCAGTATATTGTATTCAAACGAGTAAAATGAAATTGGATCAAAAAAAAGGCATTTTTTTTAATCTATAATAATCAAACAGCTTTGGTTTTAACATAATTTTAGGAAAAAAAAATGTTATAAAGCCTTTTAACAACACATTTTAAATTTCATGCTAAATTTAATTTCAATAAACTTGATTTTCAGCATAAAAGAAATTTCTTATGTAATGTTCCAGATTTAATCTATCAAATATAAAAAAGTAAAAATCAAGTCTTTGAAAGATTATGAAAGTTTATGCTAGTTTAGTATGAGCTTACTCCCACTAGTCTATACATCACCAGCATTTTATTTTCGGGTTCTTTGATATTTTCCTATTTTCAGATGACATAACAGTAACAGCAGATGGAATAGACACATATCATTTAGTTAAAGAAGCCGGCAGATACAGGTAACAATTCAGTATTTTATGTGAACTAAATTAATATTTCTCTATGTTAATATGATTATTTCTCTCTACAATAATTTCCATGTTATGTTTTAGAGAAGTGCAGAGAACGGCCGGTGTGTCTACAACTGATCTAGTTGGAAGAATGCTCCTCCTCACAAGGGAACATTTCAAGTAATATATTTAAAGTTCTTAAAGTTTTATTAATTAATCTTTTGGTTTTAATAGATTTTGAATTCGAATGAGGCATACTATGTCTGATTTTTAATCTGCTTTTTAAAATTATTAACTTTATTTTCAGAGCAGCTATGTCTTGCCTTGATTCCTTGTATGTGCCTACTTATTTTTATTTAATCATCTAAAATTTTATAGAAAATGTAATTCCTTTGTTAGTAAAATTAGCATCAATTGAATTTTTTTTATTACCATGTTTTTTAAAAACATAAAATAAATCCAATCACTAGTTTACTTATGAAATAGCTATTAATGTAAAAATATCAGTTAATTTATACAATGTATTCTTTTATGGTTGCTTGAACTTAAATATTTTATGTATCTTGATCAAACATAGCTTATTCATTGTTAATGTAAATAATTATTAAAGTAAAAATACATGATTTAGTTGAGTAATTTTGCATTATTTTCTATTTGGAAATGATATTATTGTTAGTCTTATAAGTAGGTGCAAAATTGATTCTCTGGCTGTTTGCATTTTGAATATAGAATAATATTTTGTCATAAATTGTATAGACCTTAGCACTTGAGTAATATTGTAATTTTCAGGAGAGGTGACAAAGAGTATACAGTAGCGCTGGACCACTCATCAAACCTTGGTACAGACTCGACTGCCAGGTCTCCTTACACTGGCTGCTCACAGTTCTTGCCAACCACCCAGAAGATTATACAATTTAGCAGTGGTCTTTCTCCTAAACCAACCGATAAGGTAAATATGAGTAGTTAAAAATTAATTTATCCAACTGTGTCCCATTGACACTACATAGATTTATGTAATTTCTGAAATGTATTCAACCAAATTTTTTTCAAAAAACGTAACTAATAAGCTACATTCGGCTAGAATAGTGAGGTGGTGCTTGTAAACTCTTTCAACAATTTGAGAGGTTGCTGTTTATTACAAACCTCTAATGAACAGGGAAGGGACATAGAAAAATTATACTTTCCTTAACTATGAACCTTCCTCTATGTTAGAGGGGAAGAGGTAAATTCCGAATCCAAATGTGGCAATGTGATATTTCTAATTAAATATTGTAATGTACAGGTGGTGTATGTTGCGGGCGCATTTGATCTCTTCCACGTCGGCCATCTTGACTTCTTGGAAGCCGCCAACGCGCAAGGGGATTTCCTGATCGTGGGCTTGCACACCGACCTCGAGGTCAACCGCTACAAGGGATCCAACTACCCTATCATGAATTTACACGAGCGGGTACTCTCCGTGCTCGCTTGCAAGGTAATGTTTATAAATGTACTCTGATATAAAAGAAAATTCAATCAATACCTTTACTAGTAGATCATGTAATGATCAAAAACTTATACTAATATAATAAAACGTAAAGATATATTTCTTTGTTATGTGAAATGTCAGAAATCACAGCATATTGTTGAATTTTTTAATAAATTTTAATCCAAAGCCCTACCAAATTTGCAAATTTCAATTTGGATAAAATGTCCCATGATAAAGCGACATAAAATTAAGTCAATTGCGACAAAGGACATTTTTGTCATTTATGCTTTTATATTTAGACAAATGCGAATGAAAGTTACACGGAATGTAAACATGAAATGTATGTTTTTTAATAAATTCCAGTTCGTGCACGAGGTGGTGATCGGCGCGCCGTACAGCGTCACCGCGGACCTGATGGACCACTTCGGAGTGCAGGTGGTGTGCCACGGCCTCACCCCTATAGCGCCCGACGCAGACGGCTCGGACCCATATAAGGTTCCCAAACAACGGGCTTGTTTTAAGGTAAATAAAACACTGTCTAACGCTACTTAAGATTCGAATACATAATATTTATAGATTTAATAATTTTTCTGCACTGTTTGATTTAATAGGACACATATTGTCTGCTTCAAGTAACTTCGACTTACGATGTTTTAAGCCAAAATTGAATTGCTGTCCCATTTATTATAAACTCAAATGACTTCCTATCATTAAATGTACTAAATAAATACTAATTGATAACTTGTCCTAGCGAGTATATGACCAGCTATATTTATTTCGATTATGATAATGTTATTCACATTTCAGACGCTGAATTCCGGTAACTCGATGACTACCGAGGACATAGTTCAGAGAATAATCCGCCACCGTCTCGAATTCGAGGTACGAAACTCGCGCAAGGAGCAGAAAGAATTATCGCTCATAAAACCCCTGCAAGAATATCATATAAAACAAAATGGCGATTGCCATGTTAAAAATGAATCTAGTTAATTTATAATAACATCGACAAATTTCGTTACATTCTCTTTAATATATTCAATTCGTATTACTGATATAGTGAAATGTTAAATAATTAATATTTGACTAGATTATAATTTATATTGCGTATGAATTTCCTCGTTTACCCGCCTATAAATATATTTACAAGTTAGTTGCCTATACATTGTCAAATGTACACAAAAAATTTTTGATTTTATTTACTTTTGTAGTATGTGTGCCGTTTAGTCTTTATATTTTATCTGTATACTATGACAATTTGCTAATAAATAAAACCTTTTAAATACTAAAGTTTCGTTTATAAAACGAGTTTGGTAAAAATTTTATTTTTATATGTTGCTGATGATTGTTATATTTGCAAGTAAATGCCAGTGTTAGTTTAACAATTTATAAATTACAAATGTAGTAAAATCACTGTAGTTGAAATTTATAATTTTAGTTTAAATCTTTATCTATGTAAAATAAAAATGTTTTACTTATTGAAACTCTCGTTACATTGTACAAAATTATATGTATTTATTTAGCTCGATTTATAATTATGAATTTGTTTTACGCCAACATACCAAATATTTTATTGTATAGGGTGCCCAGTGCAAGATTTTCTCACCTCGAAAATTCATAGCAGTGATACTTGTTTAAGTGAATGTTTTTATTTCTTTCATTCTCTATAAAAACCAGTGACAAAAAATATATAAGTCATACAAGTTAGCGCAAAACGTGATTCACGTGCCGCTTTCATAATATCGTATATATGACTGCACTAACATTATGGAAGTGATCCAAAACTTGCACTGGGTGTTCCATTTATTTACATTGTCATTTTAACCTCTTAATAAATTATGAACATATTTGAGTTTTATTAATTAACGCACCTTTGAAATCTGAATAAATATGATATATCTCATAAAATCCACATCAACGCTAGAATTAAGCTTTTGGCACACTCAACAGATAAACGCAGAATAGCTTATTATTTCCTACGCAAGGTTGTATTTCACCGGCCTAACGAACCTTCGGCAGTAGGTATTAATGCAATGAGCTATGATTTGTGTAGCGGCTTGACTTCTAAAGTTGACGCAAGCTAAAAACTGCAACATTGACAATATTAATCTTTATTAACAACAGTTTAATCTTGACAAATTACATAAGGTATAAAATGTTTACAAAAAGGAAATGATTATATATTCAATTATTAACCCCGTGAATTTTTCATAACCGAAATTGCCTGTTGGTTTACAAAAAGTGTGTATTATGTGTAGAGTGTATAAACGGTTTTGCTTAGTTTTGTACTAATTTTAACAACTATAGACTATATAGAATTTCACATTTTGACAATGTATTTTCTAGCAACATCGCTTTGAATTGTGAAATGGTAACATCGACATCGAAAATTCAAAATGGCAGGAAAATGTAGAGAATCTGTCTATCTGTCTATTTCTAATTTTAAAAGACGATAAATTACAGTGAGTGACGTGGTGTAACGGAAATTTTGTGATTATTGTAAAAAGACCTGAACAATATTTTATTTTCCTTTTAATTTTCTACCGGCATATTTGAAATAACAAAACAAAAGGTAAGTTAAACGTAGCCGCCCACTTCGATATCAATCTGTTCTAATGAAATGAAATATTTATCTGTTGCCGTAATATTATATTATTTAAAATGTATGCGACGAAAGCGGACCCGTAAAAAGATTAATTGATCTTATTTTCAATCAATTTAATACGACATGTGTATACAAAGTTTTTGGTAATCAGACACTACGCCGTACAAAGTTATTATTATCTTGTTGTCTATCGTTAATTAAAAGGTTTGCTAACCTCCCTTTCAACCACCGTTTATACTATTTATTTTCTTTTCACATATACGAGTATACCTGTTTTTAAGTTTTACACAAAACTTTAACATTTTGTACATGAATCTTAAGATTGTGCAAAATCAATACGGTAATTATAGTATTTTGTTATTTATATTAATACAAAAAATGATATTTCGTTTACTAATATTTTCGGTTAAAATAAACATGAAAATTATGTGTCTCATTAATAAAAGGTAGCTATGACTTTTATTAGCACATTTAAAACAATACTTATTTTTTAACATAAATTTTATTGGCCGTCATTGTGAACGATCAATTGGCTATAATAAAAAAAAGAGATTTTCAGAATGAGTCGAGAAATCCATTTAACTATTTGTCTGTAATTCTGATTGTTAAACTAAAATTAAAGATAAAGCATTGATATGATTCTTAAAAGAGTAGGCATGTACATAATTGACATATAAATATGTGCTACAACCATATATGTTTAAACTTGTACAATTAAAGGAGATTTCAAAAGTGACTTGATCTCTTATTTATGGGTATGAACATGTAGAAAAGATTGTCATTACTGTTAAAAGGTTATGAACAAATTGTCATAAAAGGTACACCAACACCATCTCATACTGATTAATAACAATAAAGGTTTCTTGTCTAGTTGAGTTCAGTAGAAAAAAGAGGGTACTCTGGTATATTTATTTATAATTTAATAGAACACACCACTAGGAACATTGAGAAGGATTGTATGAAAGATAACATGATTTAAAAGGCAGTATATTGGATAAAGATAGAGAGATGTATCTATTTTTGTTCCTCCATTAATTTGTTTTGAAATTAAATATACATACTCGTTTTAACCTTTTATGCGGACAATAAGATTTTACAATTTAAACCCACTGTGCACCTTCACAATTTATGTTGTTTTAATGGTGTAAGTATTCAACAGTTTAAACTATTATTCATTTATTAGCTTTAGTAGTATACCCAATATGTCTACTGCTACTGTCCACTAAGTTTGTTGATGTCTATTATAAATGTTTTTAATCAAAGGTAATAATTTGACAAAAAGTATATTAATACCTACAAAATGTTTAATCTGTACTTTAATAGTGTCACACAAAATATATCTTTTATGGTTTTAGCTAAAAAGTCTAGAATAAATCTTTTCTCCTCTAGTAATAATCTATTAGGACTAACATAATTTAAAAATAGTTTCCATTTCCGAATAGTTTACTTTTTTCCTAAAACAAATTTTAATACTTCTTTTGGTAGCATATCCTATCAAAGAATAACAATAATCATCATCATCAGCAGGCAAGTTGCCATAGAATTTGTGTACAAATAAGATAAAGATCTTCTTTATGGATGCCATGTCATCTCCCTTGCAAGCTGCAAGCATGCTTCTAAGTCTTGTAGATTCATTTCTACTATATTGGTAGTTATCCTAATTTATATCACATAAAGCAGGCTAAGTTCGTAAGAATGCAGTCAATATTGTTTTATTACCAGATTATTGATATAGATTTCTATTGTTACGGGTTTTATTTTTAAATCAATAGTTATAGTGTATGAAATCCATGTTTTGATCATCTTGTCTTATTTAAGTACCCACTTTGAAATTAAAATCAAAAGCACATTGCTTATGAGTATTTTTTTTCTAATAAATTGGCAATAAAATTGAATTGCTTGATATTGGGTCTGACATTAATATAGGTTCTCGTTATTTGTACTTGATACACCAAATTTTCTGGCCTTTATACTTTTTCAAGCTTGGGACTTAAAAAATATCCTATAAAAATACGGGCATTTTAAACCCACTTAATTAAAAGGCCTCTACGGAGGG